TATCTAATTCTGGGAAGAATGCAAACATGCACTTGCTGAATGAGTACTATACACCTGCACTATTGCTAGGCTTTATAAGGGCTGTAAAATAAAGCATGGTATCTAGTCTTACGAAGTCTACAAAGCACCAGAAATGTTTATTATTCCTTCTCTTTACTAAAGTAGCCTATGTTTTGTTTTAAATACAGAAAGAAACAGTAACAGGTAAACAAACTGTCTTAAGTCACATAACAGCTCAAGTTACATTATTTAAAGGTCTCAAAAAGGAGAAATACTGATGAAAGGAGAAACATTAGAAGACTAATGAGCTATGTCTTTACTGGTACACAAATCAATGTGGTTTAGTAAACAAAGAAGAGAATATCAGAGATGAATAAGGATTGTTTAGGTTAAAGGCAAACACAACTAAATCACCGGGTGAAGAGGTAGAAAATATAGACCATAAATAGAACATAGGTTTTTCATTAAGGGTAAATGACAAATACCCTCAGATGCATTTATCATGCACATATGCAGAGATGTGTGTATTTTATATACCTACCCTCTTTGTTTTGCCAGAGAGAAGAAAGGCTAGACTAAGCACATATAAACACATCAGTTTTATAGATAAGAACCTAACACCTCATCTGCCTCAAAATTTAAAAAAGTTCTAAGAGAGAACAAACTAAAACACTAAATGCTAAAGCTTATTACTAGAGTCACAGGGCTGGCTTTCAGTGCCATATTCAAGGACTATTTGCTTTTACTTTATGCCCTATTCTCACTGTTTGGTTATGTAGCTTCTCATTTTAGAAGTGTTATGAAAAGATATTCCAAAAGCCACAATATGAGAACCAAAAGAAAGCCAGAGAGAGAGAGGGAGAGAGAAAGGGAGAGAGACAGAGAGAAAAAAAGAGAGAGAGAGAGAGAAAAGCTACAAAAGCAGGTGTATATACTGCAGTAGTCTTTAGGACATTATCAAATTATAGAACAGCACATTCATTGATGTTTCATTTCTTCCTGGTAAGAAACAGGAAGACCACTAGCTGGATATGGTGGCATGTGCCTATAGTACAGGCTGCTTGGGAGGCTGAGGTGGGAAAATTGCTTGAGCCCAGAAGTTCAAATCTAACCTGGGCCACATAGTGAGATCCAGTATCTTTGGGAAAAAAAAGCAGGGGATGGGGAGTAGTTGGGAGGAAGAAATAGGAAGCGTATACTATGTTTTATTCAAATTAAAGAGTTGGGCCTGGTGCAGTGGCTCACATCTGTAATCCCAGCACTTTGGGAGGCCAAGGCAGGCAGATCACCTGAGGTCAGGAGTTCAAGACCAGTCTTGCCAACATGGTGAAACCTGCCTCTACTAAAAATACAAAAAAAAAAAAAAAAAATTAGCTGGGCATGGTGGCAAGCACCTGTAATCCCAGCTACAGGGAGGCTGAGACAGGAGAATTGCTTGAACCTAGGCAGTGGACAGCAGTGAGCTGAGATCACATCACTGCACTCCAGTGTGGGCAAAAGAGTGAGACTCCCCAGATTCCTCATCTCAAAGACAAACACAAACAAATTAAAGTGCTAAGTAGCTTACCCGGTAACTACACATAAAAGAGATGTTGAGGTATGAATTCACCTACTTTTAACAAAACAACAAAAAACCTAGACTTGAGGCATTTTGAATTGCCAAGAAAACAAACAGGGATGATAGACAGTTTGTAGGCTAAAAACCTGCTTTTCCTTCCTTTTTAATGCTATTAAAAATAACAGAATAAGAATAAACATTGCTCAATGACAACAGAAAAACAAAGAAAAGTTCTCTCATGGATCTTTGTCTTTTTCTAAATGACAATTACTGCTTAAAACAACAGTCCAACAATATCTCTTTATCGTTTTGAAGAGTTAAAAAAGATACAGAGGCCAAGGTTTCTTTACAGGTTTTACTTTAGACATAGCCAATTACTGAGTTCAAATTCAAACTTAGCTTGATGACAACTGTGGAAAGCCAAAACAAAGAATATCTATGCTATCTGCCACAGTGTGAATGTGTCCCCTGCCAAATTCAAATGCTGAAATCTACACCCACAATGTGATGGTATTAGGAGGTACTAAACACTTTTGGGAGGTGATTAGGCCATGGGGGTAGAGTCCTCATAAATTCGGTAAGTGTCCTTATAATAAAGGAATGGGAGAGACCCCTCCCGGTTCCAGTGTGAGGACACAGCAAGGAGCCACCTATGAGTCAGAAGGCAGGCCCTCACCAGACGCTGGTACTTTCATTGTGAACTTCCCAGACTCTAAAAATGGAAGAAATAATTCTCTCGTTTATAAGCTACTCCGTTTATGGTTTTTTGTTACAGCAGTCCAAAAAGACAAAGACATCATCTAAGAACATAAAATCCTTGAGAACAGAAGCAATTTTCTATTTTTATTCAATAGTAAAAAAGAAGAGAAAATGTAATAACATTATTCTTAAAGCAATGACTTCCAAACCTTTCTATCTGAAGCCCTGATTCTGTTCATCCAAACTCTAAACACACATCATCAAATTCCTACCAATTGTTTCCACTTGAGTATTTTGTCATCATCTCAAACTAAACCCTGGATCAAACAGAAAAAATTCCCAATCCTTTACTTTTCCCCTCTTCAGGCCACACCAGCTTCCTATTTTAATTTTCCAACTCCTATCATGCAGCCTTTCAATCACCATACTCCATCCTTCCTGCTGCTATTGCAAAGACCCTAGCGCAGGCTCTTAATAATTTCATTTGGCTATAAAAGATTCCTCATTAGTATATGTGCTTCTACTTTCTTTCTTCCTTTAAATTATGGTGACCGAAAAGTCTTTCTAAATGATGGGTTTTTTTTTTTTCCTGCTACTCTCAACTTTAAAAGTTCTTTAGTACCTACAAGATAAAGTTAGAAGTAAGATCCAACTGATTGACATTTAAAATTTATAGAGACCACCTGGCTGTCTATGAAGGTGTCTCCTTCTTCCCTCCCTGCTCAGTGTAAGTCCCTTCCAAGGCCACAATTCAAAGTCTGTATGTGGTCAGGGCTCAGTATAATCTGGTTTCCAATTACCTTTTGATTTTTCTCTTCCTTTAAATCATGTGAATCTTAGGCTTCACTATGTTAGTCTACTTTCTTATCAAACGTGTATTCCTCTAGCATACCTCTTTTAGTATTATTTTGTGATGATAGGGTGGAATGTAAAAAATATTTCTATACTTAAAATATACAATATCTATTATCAAAGTATTGATATATTCACATCTATTAAAATATCGAACAGTGTAAGCGGTATATATATGACTAAAATGAATGCAATCTTATGGGCTCAGTTAATGAATGCCAGAAAGCTACAATGTACTCTGTCTGAATGATGCCAGGCAATTTGTCTGACAACTCTGCCGAGGTTTCCTTTATTGCCACTATAATGTTTTCTGGTGAGTAATTTTCATCCACAGCAGCTTAAAAAAAAAGTCAGTGATAGTGCTAGACTAGGTGGATCCCAAAGAAATATATTATTCTATAGGTTTTATAGCCATAAGAGTTTCTAAGGAAATGTTAAAGAAACAATAAGATACTGTCAATTATAGCTTAATAAAATGCCCTTTGATGTTACGGGGGAGAATATAAACATTACTGCTTCTTGAGAGAACTGAAAAATAATTTTAAGAGGGGACCTGGAAGAGAGTGCAGCTGAAGACCTGTTGTGACCTCACAGTATGTGAAACGCACAGAAAAAAACTACCAATGTGCAATGGTGAGACCCATCTTCACAGGACTGCGCTACACCTATTCTGTACCAACCTCACTACTGGCTCTCTGATTTCCAGAACTGCAATCATACAAAACTGGGTATGCAAGTAATAAGAGGTATGTCAAACACGAGAAACTGTCCTTTTACTTAAACCAAAACACAGGAGTCTATTATTAAATGAATCCACTTCCTGCTGAAACCTACAGCTGGTCCAGTTCAGCCCTCATTGCTATAGTTCTTAGATGTGTTCATATAATAAAAAAATGTGGAAAATGGATCTCTTGGCTTCTCCCTTCTAGGTTATGTAAACTGCAACCCTAAGCTAGATCTTTTAGTTATTTTTCATTTACCAGTTACTGAGAAGAATGTCATAATTATTTTCCTGAAATCTGCACCTAACATTAATAGAAAAGCTTCAACATATTCAAAGCGTAATCTATCACTATTTTTTTTCAAGTTTTAATCAAAGCTTGTATATAAGATTACTTTATTCCTGCATCTTCTCAATTGTTTCTTCCTTGTATTTGCCCTTTTCCTTTCCTGCTTGGCGAGATTTGGCTTTCTGTTCAAGGATCTTTTTACGGTCTTTGTCCAGGTTTAGCTTAGTGATAACCACCTTGCTGGGGTGAATGCCTATGTGGACAGTTGTGCCATTAGCCTTTTCCCGCTGCACCCATTCAATGTAGATTACATATTTCTTCCTGTAAACCTGGACTACTTTGCCAATCTGCTGACTTTTATAGTGTCCTTGTACAACCTGAACTTCATCATCCTTTCGGATGGGCATGGATCGCACGTAGTACTTCTGTCTCAGCTCTTTGGAAAGAGGGGAGGATATAATCTTCCTGCAAATGTGGGAAGGTGCATTGAAATGCCTTTTGCAATTCTTGCTTCAGTCGGAAGTCACAAAGGGACTGAACTTCATTTTGGCTGCTCCCGCTTCGGTGATGGCCGTAAAAGGGAAGAGCTGTTTAACTTTTTAAAACACTTGATACCAATGCCAATCCAAAGATCAATGGCTGTCTGTCAAATACTTTCTGCCACGTGTTATATGTGGAAGACTGGGACAGTGGCATTGTAACTTTTATCAAAGAAAGGTAAATATATTTTGTATACTTCTAAAAACTCAAACACTGATTATGAATGGAATGCCTTCTTGCAATTGTCATACAAGAGAGTTGAAAAAAACCGAAAAACTGACTACCTCTGTTGAAGGTGACTTTAAAGTCCACAGAAAGACCTCAGAAGGTAAAGAATTTACCTTATTTTCTTCTAGAAATTTTAATTTGATAGAAACATCATTGCGCATTTTATCATATTTTTCCTTATGTGCTTGGAAGAGATGCTGTGACTGCTCAATCTTCGGCAGAGTGTTTGCATCACGTGGTCCAAGATTCAGTTCTTCCAAATCAGTGCGATATGCATCATATTCAATCCTGGAAAGAAGAGAGTAAGTGAAGCATACTACAAAAGGAGTTAAATATATTCAAAGATGGGTTGGAAATTTATAATATTCAGTTTCATACTATACAGTAATACATAAAATTCTCATACATATTCTACTTAATGCTTTTGAAATCATTATTTCTTTAAAAACAAGGAGCTATTCAAATAAGAACAGGGGGAAAGCTGCTTGTTAATCTCATTAACTATTTCTTCCAAAGTATAATATTAACTGACAAGTAAAATTGCCAAAATCTGAAAACTAGATAAAACAAGTAAATGTCAACAGAAGAGCCAAGGGCAGAACAAATACCACGTGTGAATTGCCTAATACTGATAAGGCAAAGCAGTTAAGGACAGCAGACTCTAGAATGGCATACTAAAAGAGGTAGAAGTATCAACGGTTCTCAAAATAAGTCTGGGTTAGCAACACACAACAAAAATATAATGTGAGCAACACATGTAATTTAACATTTTCGAGTAGCTACAATAAATTAATTTCACCTGTGTTATCAATATATTTCATTTGACCCAATATATCTCAAATATTAATCATTGTGGCATGTAATCAATACAACAAAATTATTCATGAGGTACTTTACATTTGGAGAGTGGGTAATGAGTCCTTGAAATCCACTGTGTATTTTACACTTCTATCTCATCTCAATTCAAACTAGCCACATTTCAAGTGCTTACCAGACATGTGTGGCTACTGTATTTGACAACACAGCTCTGGATGAATTTCTGTAACATCAGTATTCAGAATGGAACAACAGTATCTATTGTAGAGCACTTACTATCCTGCGTTCTGTGAGATGCCTCACTCTAATATTCTCCCCCCATTAACTCAAATAGTTACCCCACCACTGTCATCACTCCATGATCCTATAAGCTCTCATAATAGCTCTATCACAACGCCTAAGTATAGTACTACCTGGCTTATTAAACAGTGATTTATCCAGCAGTGTCAACTATTTGATACTCAGCAAAGAAGAAGCAAAGTGACTTCTAATTTAGTCAAGATCAGAATCACAAAGCTTATACCCTAAAACTAAAGCTCTTTATTTGGAGATAATAGGAGTATAATTCACATCTTCTATTCTGGGAATTAACAATACTTTAAATAACATAATCTACACTGTAGATAAGACTTGAGAAAGAATACATTAGTCTTTCACACTGATCCTAATTTATTCTTTTTTTATTTTTATTTTACTTTAGGTTCTGGGGTACATGTGCAGGTCATGCAGGGTTGATGCATAGGGCATACATAACCAGGTCCTAATTTATTCTTAGCTTGTACTGAATTTAACAGTATGAGTTAAGATTTAATTTCATTGGCCTCTTCCAGGGTCAAAAGAGAACCATTCATTCATTCACTGATACACTGATTCATTCAACAGTTCTCAAGTGAGCACTTTCTACATTCCAGGCACTGTGTTGGAAAGTAAAGCTATAAAGATGAACAGATAAATTTATCCTCAAGAAGCTTGCAGTCTAGAGGAAGGAGACAACCTTGTAAATAATTACAACAGAGTAAGATAATAAAAATGACCATAAAGGAGGGTAAGGTATAATGAAAATCAAGAGGAATAATTATTAAATTAGATACCTGAAAAGGTTGTCTCAGACAGAATTAAAATAATTAAATTTTGAAGGATGCTAAAAGCTGGCTGGGTGAATTGGGATGGGGAGATCAGTAGAATATTCTGAATCTGAAGAGAACAGCATGGACAAAGGCATAGATTTATAAGACACAATGACAATTTGGTAATTCAGTATGTCAGAATCTGAAGCTGGAACAGGACAATGAAAGAAATTAACATCAGACAGGTGGGCAGAATTGAAACTAAACAGCCCTATAGGCCATGCTAAAGAATTTAAATTTAATCCAGTATGAGAGGTGATGGGAAGCCACTGAAGAACATTGAGCTGACATAAAAGTGACATGATTGTATCAGGATAGAAAGATGACTCTTCTGGTAGTGTAAGAGACGGAGGATAGAATAGAGTAAAAGATTAAAAAATCAGGAGCAAGGAAACCTATTAGAAGACGATATAAGAAATGAGTCACTGAATCAGGACAAAGGCAGTAGAGCTAAGGAGGCGGATACAAAAGATTTAGGAGGCAAGACTGACTTGGCAATAATATCAAGTTAGTTAAATCCATGGGTTCAGAAGCCAAGCTGAATGACCTCCCTGTCTTTTGGCTCTAATGTCCTGAGCTAGTTATTTCATCTCTTTGTGCTCCAGCTTTTCAATCTATGAATGTTAATAAAAATATCCACAAAAAGGCCAGGCGCGGTGGCTCACGCCTGTAATCCCAGCACTTTGGGAGGCCGAGGCGGGTGGAGCACGAGGTCAAGAGATCGAGACCATCCTGGTCAACACAGTGAAACCCCGTCTCTACTAAAACTACAAAAAATCAGCTGGGCATGGTGGCACGTGCCTGTAATCCCAGCTACTCAGGAGGCTGAGGCAGGAGAATTGCCTGAACCCAGGAGGCGGAGGTTGCAGTGAGCCAAGATCGCGCCATTGCACTCCAGCCTGGGTAACAAGAGTGAAACTCCGTCTCAAAAAAAAAAAAAAAAAAAAAAAAAAAATCCACAAAAACTTCATGTAGATAAAGCACGCAGGACACCTGGTAATAACTGATAACTTTAGAATGCTTATTATTGTGGCCAAATTAGAAGAGGGGTATCTAGAAGCAAACACACTAAAAACAATAAAAAATAAAGGAGAAAAACGTATAACTAAAATAAATAGTAATACATGGTGATTTGATCTAAGAATAAATATCCTCCAACAGCCTGGAGCACATTTCTAAACAACAGTGATTAACTTAAACATAATCAAAGTTATAATACTGACCTTATATTTCTTAATTTTACATTCAGAGTTTGTAGATGATATCAAAGTAAAACTTTCCATAACAGCTTCTCTAACAGTGTTCATTACCACCAAGAAGAGAAGCTCACTAAGTTTTCAAAAAGCAACTTCACTTCAAGGTTGCCCATCTGAACTGAGTCCATATCAACAGTTAGTGACGGTTACTTTATGGCTTATGTAAAACTTCTAGAGAACAGGTGTCCACATCTGAATAGTCTTGACCACAATTGACTCCCTTGTTGGTGCTGCTGTGAAGAAGTGTTGAATGGGCTGTTACAAGATTTTCTATACATGAAGCACCAGAGGGCTAGGAAATACTTGTACACAATGCATAATAGGGGGCATTAAAAGGCCACCCGGGCATTTGCCTAAATTACCACTTTTGTACTGATCAAATAGATGACCCTTGCCCTAAAAGTCAGCAAATTCTGGTTTTGACAGAGAAGAAAATACAGCTACTGAAAAACTTTTAACCTTGGTTTCTTTTGGACTATTATCCATCAGTAGGCAATGTTTTAGTTTTAACAATTGGCTAATTCCGCAGCTACTTCATATGCAACAGAAAAGTCAAACCCCAAGCTAAGCTTAATGAATAAGATCGTATTTTGTAATTTGAATAAAAAAGGATAAATTATGGGATGAGGTCATTACTGTTGTTGTTTTTCAAAGTATACACAGAAGCTGTGTGAGGGCTTTAAGAAACCAGCTACCAAGAACATGTAACTTGATTTATAATTTTGTTCAAAAGTTCCAAATGAACGTATATAGTGTATTTTATAAACTGACATCTTATATCACATTATACTTAGGGCACTAATACTCAGGTATAAGGCCTACTGATAAAATGTGAACCATAGGGAAACAATGGGTTCTCATGTTGGCTTTGAAATTGACTAGAAGTGAGCAAACCATTTAGCTTCTAGAGTGTTATTTTTTTCCTCTACAAATTAATTATAAAATGTTTAGAAATAAGAGCTGAAGAGAAAGAGATTATTATTAACTAAAACATATTTCAAGATAGGTAGGCAATTCCAAAGTAGAGAAACAATCTAGATCCACAAAGTTCTTAACTAGGAGTTGTGGGGGTACTTTTGGAAGAAAACAATATTCATCTTTAAAACCCATAAATGTTACAACAATTAGAAAGACTGGAAAATAAGAATATTTAAAATGATTAGAGATAAAAGAGAGAGTACATAATTATGTACATAATTATTTGTACATAATTATGAACAAATTATGGCATTAGGAATAAGGAACAAATTTAGAAAATAATCCAATAAAACATACAAATGAATTTTTAAATTCATATACATAATGAACCCTTTGAAAAATACAATTTCCATGAAAAGATTTACATCAAGACTGAAAAACCAACTACTGAGAATGCTATTGAAAAGATTTCCATGGAAGACTATCTTACTAACAGCAATCCTCACTCTTACCCCTCCATACAACCACGGCTGTTTGACCTTCATTTTCAAGGCATTTAGAATCTCACATATTAATACTAAATGGAAAATGACAAAATAAACATGGGATGGGACAGAAGCATCTCTTCCTGTGAAAACATCAAAAATTAGCTTTTCCAAATGATTTGGACTTTTACTTAATTGAAGTGTAAGAAAATATATATTTAATGAGCACTCAATTGCAAAAAGACTAGATGAGTTTGGAGTTTTTACAGGCATTTCTCATACCATTAAACTAGGATAAGAGGCCAAAGGGTAAAGTCATCCTTCTAAAAGGTAAAGTTGATCTTCAACTATGCTATAAAAAGTGTAATGAAAAATCAGAATTTTGGGTGTTCAAAAGAAAAAAAATCTCAAAAGGGACTAGAATGATATTTAAATAAAAGTTAGTAGGGCACATGGGGAAAAAATTGGGCCTGGAATCAAAAGATGAAAAAGGCTATTATAAGTCTGCCACATTTTAGGCCTTTCAAAGTATTTATTAATATATATTTTGTTCACCATTTAACCAGATAGTTATGAGATAGGGAAATTTTATATATACATATATATATGAATATGGATGTATAAAAACCCATTAAAATAGGATGTATAAAAACACTGCATTATAAACAGCTATCAAAATATAAGTCAAATACTTAATTTATATAAAAGGTAAAATTTGAAAGGGTTTGAAGGCTTGTTATAATCTGGATAAATGGAAGATGGCTGGTATCCTAACAAAAATGACAGAGGCAAAATTAGCTTACTTATTCAATAGAAACTGAAAGTGTGAGTCTGGCTATTGTGGAAGCAATGAAAATGAGGATGAAAGGTAAATTTAGGCCATATTATAGAGAACTATGTAGTACCTACCTGGTAGAAGATAGGGCCCTGTCCTCTTCTAAAGAAGCCAGAGTTGGAAAATCTTTCATTTCTCTATTCATTAGAAGGCAGGGTTTGGGCACCTGACCAGGGCTCTAATCTCAAGGCATGCAGCAAGTATTTACGGGCCTTTAGGAAATGATTTATGGTAGCTGTGGCAGCATCAAGTACTGCCATAGCATAAGGGTCCTAATTAGATTCTTCTGAGGCTTAACTTGGCCTTGGTTCTTGGTTGTTTCTAGAATCCTGTCCTCTCCCTTTCTGCCAGTTCTGTGGAGGTATACTATAACTTTCCAGTACATTTTTTTCCTGCCTAAATTGGCGAGGGTTGGTTTCTGTTGTTTGTAGCCAAAAACTTAACAGAATTGCATGCCATCTATAAAACAGACAATATACTTACCTGGCACTTTCATACTGTTTCACAGTCATTAATGTATCTTCAATTGTTTTATTCACCAAAGTGTTCACACTAGCAATGAAAAAATTAATGGCCCCAAGAAGAGTCTCTCCATTTTTAGCCAGCAGCTTCTGGGTATCTGCATTATAGCCAAATTCTTCCTAAAACAAAGAAGTTGCCTTAATTCATCCAGTAATAAATTAGTGACTTAAAAATCTCAAGCATACCACTAATGGGAAAATATGTGATTTAGAGATCTAGCTGTAGCAGTTTTACTTTTTCTTTCAATCTTTAAAAGAATTTAAATCACAGTTAGCTATATAAATCTTTAAAATTATAGATTTTTAAGATATAATTTTACATAGAATTTAAAATATAAATCTTTAAATTAAAAAAAATTTAAATCACAGCTAGATATAAAATTACTGAAAAAGTCTAATAAACCAAAACTGTCATCAGCTCAGATACATAGCTAAAAGCTAAATAATTTTTATAAGTTACTTTGTAGTAGAAAGAATATTTTCATTTCTATATTTTGTTTCTATTATGCTATAAGCACAGATGTTAGAAAGAAAAATATAGCAGATTATTCATCAGAGAAACTGTAACTATCATAGCCAAATTAGGTAATAATTGGTTAAAACTTTCAGACATAAAACAAAGTATAAATTTTCTGTGTTTTGACTGAATCTCCTCAAAGTATAAATATTAACAACACACATTTCTTTGTAAACTTGGTGACCAGTTGACTCCCAGCTCAGGTTTCTCTAGGTACACAACTGAGGAAGGATCACTCAACACCAGATTTAGTTCATTCTTTTTGAACAAACTGCATCTTGGTGCAGTAAACATTACACATGACTCCTTCAGATATGGCAAGAACCAGCTCCAGCTCTGTATGTTTAGCAGTAAAAGCTTTCCAGACCAAGTTTTACTAACTGACAGATTAATCAGGAATGCATCTAACCAAATAAAAAAATTGATCACATAAGATGTATCATTTAATTTGATAATTATCCAGTTTGTTATAAAACACTTTTCAATTTCAGTTGAAACAAATAATGTAATATTAAATTAATTAGAATCTTAGAAGATACAAATTTAATGCTAGTGCAATAGCTGTAATTATATTTCTTGGGAGACAAAGTATTCAAAAATTCAGCCAATAGCAGGAAAGTAAAATTATCTTTATTATGCTAAAAGCATTTTCCACTTAAGAGATGTCCATGTAACTCCACTCTGGACTCAAGTCTTCAAAATATTATAGACTCTGATTTGCAAATATTGGCAAATAAAGGACTACATAAAAAGATTATCAATCAATGTATAAAAAAACTAAAATGAAAGACAGGACAGCTTAATATTTTTGGCATCAAATTTCCACAAACCAAGTTACACACTGAAGTCTATATAATGTTACTGGAAATTGAATAATACAGAAAAAAATTTTTTACAACTTTTTGAAAAAGTTAACACAACATATTACAACAGTAACCATTGATATTCATTAAGAAGTAAAAGACAAAATAAAAAATTAACAAACAGAAAAATATGAAAGGTTTACATAAATACAATAATTCATAAAAAGTAAAGTTAACAGAAGTCAGTTGGACCTTCCTAAAGTGATATAAAATCTCTCTTTTTTTTTTTGAGACAGAGTCTCACTCTGACACCAGGCGCCAGGCTGGAGTGCAGTGGCACAATCTCGGCTCACTGCAACCTCCGCCTCCTGGGTTCAAGCAATTCTCCTGCCTCAGCCTCCCAACTAGCTGGGACTACAGGCATGCGCCACCACACCCAGCTAATTTTTTTGTATTTTTTAGTAGAGACGGGGTTTCACCATGTTGGCCAGGATGGTCTCAATCTCTTGAGCTCGTGATCTGCCTGCTTTGGCCTCCCAAAGTGCTGGGATTACAGGTGTGAGCTACCGTGCCCAGCCATAAAATATATTTAAAGAAAACCTGGGAATTCCATTTTCATTAAGATCAGAAAATCACAAATATAACAAATTACTTCTTAGAATACTTCTATTATCATTTTCTCCCATCCTTAATACTTATTTAAAATAATCTTACATGAAGTTCTAGTGACTTCAAACTCAGGTCAGCAAATGCATCTCCAAGTTGCCTTTGGGTATGTACCATCTGGAAAAGCTGGGTCGACAATGTTTGAGCCAGTTTTAAAATATTTTCATATTTTTTCTTGTTATCCCTTAATATATCAATTTGAGCTTCAAGTTCAAGGTCCACAGTTCTTGAGCCACGGCCTAGCTTCTCAGAGATAATTTGTCGAGTACACTAAAAGTGGAAGATGTATTTTGTTTAGAAAGAAAAAACAAAACGAAATATAAATGCTAGAGCATATGGCATATACCATTTTTTGGATTCAAACAAGCTAGCCTAACAAACTGAAAACTGTCAGCTCCCTTAATTGATCAGGACTCAGAAAGTAAATTCACCAGACGTGTCTAATAATGATTACTAATCAAAGGACATTTTCAGACTTATCTAGCAAACTTATATACTGCCATAAGAACTCGCTCACATAATTATTTTGCAAGTTTAGAACGTTTGGGTAAATTACTTAAAACAGAGATTTTGGCACTAAGACTAATATAGGCTGTTAATACAGGAATAATAAGAACGCTAAAATACTACTCTCTTATTGCTGTCAAATGCTCTTTTACTTCTGTCTTCCCCCTTAAATGACTTGTATATATGTGTGTATGAATGAGGAATGAAAGAAAGAAAGAAGAAAGAGGAAGGAATGAAAGGAGGGGGGGAAAGAGGAAGAGATATTACTGAGTTCTTTACTTTTGCCCAGACAGCATGGTATTATATTGTTATTGTATTCTGCCCCAGAAATAATACAGAAACATACATATATATATTTGTGTGTGTGTGTGTGTTTTTCTGAGATGGAGTCTTGCTCTGTCACCCAGGTTAGATGAAGTGCGTGCAGTGGTCCGATCTCGGCTCACTGCAACTTCCGCCCCCGAGGTTCAGGTGATTCTCATGTCTCAGCCTACCAAGAAGCTGGGATTACAGGCATGTACCAGCATGCCCAGGTAATTTTTTGTATTTTTAGTAGAGATAGGGTTTTGCTATGTTGCCTAGGCTGGTCTCAAACTCCTGGGCTCAACTGATCTACCTACTAGACACTACAGAACTCTCCACCCCAAATCCACAGAATATACATTCTTCTCAGCACCACATCACACCTACTCTAAAATTGACCACATAATCGGAAGTAAATCACTCCTCAGCAAATGCAAAGAATGGAAATCATAACAGTCTCTCAGACCACAGTGCCATCAAGTTAGAAGTCAGGATTAAGAAACTCATTCAGAACTGCATAACTTCATGGAAACTAAACAACTGGCTGTTGAATGTTGATTGGATAAACAATGAAATGAAGGCAGAAATAAAGATGTTCTTTGAAACTAACGAGAACAAAGAGACAATGTACCAGAATCTCTGGGACACATTTAAAACAGTGTCTAGAGGAAAATTTACAGCAATGAATGCCCACATGAGAAGCAAGGAAAGATCTAAAATTGGCACCCTATCATCAAAACTGAAAGAGCTAGAGGAGTAAGATTAAAAAAACCTCAAAAGCTAGCAGAAGACAAGAAATAACTAAGATCAGAGCAGAACTGAAGGAGACAGAGACACAAAAAAACCTTCAAAAAATTAATAAATCCAGGATCTGGTTTTTTGAAAAGATCAACAAAATAGACAGACTGTTAGCCTGATTAATAAAAAAGAAAAGGGAGAAGAATCAAATAGATGCAATAAAAAGCAATAAAGGGGATATCACCACAGATTCCACAGAAATACAAACTACCATCAGAGATCAGTACAAACAACTCTATGCACACAAACCAGTAGAGCTGGAAGAAATGGATAAATTCCTGGACACTTGCACCCTCCCAAGCCTAAACCAGGAAGAAGTCAAAACCCTGACTAGACCAATAACAAGGGCTGAAGTTGAGGCAGCAATTAATAGCTTACCAACCAAAAAAAAGCCCAGGTCCAGATGGATTCACAGCCGAATTCTACCAGACATACAAAAAGGAGTTGGTACCACTCCCTCTGAAACTATTCCAAACAATCCAAAAAGAGGGAATCCTTCCCAAATAATTTTATGAGGCAAACATCATCCTGATACCAAAAGCCAGCAGAGACTCAACAAGAAAAGCAAACTTCAGGCCAATATCCATGATGAACACAGATGCAAAAATCTTCAGTAAAATACTGGCAAGCCAATTGCAACAGCACATTAAAAAGCTTATCCATCATGATCAAGTAGGCTTCAACCAGGGGATGCAAGGCTGGTTCAACATACGCAAGTCTATAAATGTAATCCACCACATAAACAGAACCAAAGACAAAAACCACATGATTATCTCAATAGATGCAAAAAAGGCCTCTGACAAAATTCAACAGCGCTTTAGGCTAAAAACTCTCAATAAACTAGGTATCAACAGAATGTATCTCAAAATAATAAAAGCTATTTACGACAAACCAACAGCCAACATCATACTGAATGGGCAAAAACTGGAAAGTATTCCTTTTGAAATCTAGCACTAGACAAGGATGCCCTCTTTCACCACTCCTATTCAATACAGTATTGGAAGTTCTAGCCAGAGCAATCAGGCAAGGAAAAGAAATAAAGGGTATTCAATTAGGAAAGGAGGAAGTAAAATTGTCTCTAGTTGCAGACGACATGATTGCATATTTAGAAGACCCCATCATCTCAGCCCAAAATCTCCTTAAACTGATAATCAACTTCAGCAAAGTCTCAGGATACAAGATCAATGTGCAGAAATCACAAGCATTCCTATACACCAATAATAGACTAAAAGAGAGCCAAATCAAGAATGAACTGCCATTCACAGTTGCTACAAAGAGAATAAAATACCTAGGAATACAATTAACAAAGGATGTAAAGGACCTCTTCAAGGGGAACTACAAACCACTGCTCAATGAAATATGAGAGGACACAAACAGATGGAAAAACATTCCATGCTCATGGTTAGAAAGAATCAATATTGTGAAAATGGCCATAGTGACCAAAGTAATTTACAGATTCAACACTATCCCCATCAAGCTACCAATGACCCTCTTCACAGAACTGGAAAAAAACACCTTAAACCTCATATGGAACCAAAAGAGAGCCCACATAGCCAAGTCAATTCTCAGCAAAATGAACAAAGCTGGAGGCATCATGCTACCTGACTTCAAACTACACTACAAGGCTACAGTAACCAAAACACCATGGTATTGGTACCAAAACAGAGATACAGACCAATGGAACAGAACAGAGGCCTCAGAGGTAACGCCACACATCTACACCTATCTGATCTTTGACAAACCTGACAAAAACAATCAATGGGGAAAGGATTCCCTGTTTACTAAATGGCGTTGGGAAAACTGGCTAGCCATGCACAGAAAGCAGAAACTGGACCCCTTCCTGACACCTTACACTAAAATTAACTCCAGATGGATTAAAGACTTAAACATAAGACCTAAGGCCATAGAAACCCTAGAAGAAAACCTAGGCAAAACCATTCAGGACATAGGCATAGGCAAGGACTTCATGACCAAAAGCATTGGCAACAAAAGCCAAAATAGACAAATGGGATCTAATTAAACTCCAGAGCTTCTGCACAGCAAAAGAAACAATCATTAGAGTGAACCGGCAACCAAGAAAATGTGCAATCTACCCATCTAACAAAGGGCTAATATCCAGAATCTACAAAGAACTAAAACAGATTTACAAGAAAAAAAATAACAAACCTATTCAAAAGTGGGCAAAGGATATGAACAGACACTTTTCAAAAGAAGACATATATGAGGCCAACAAACATATGAAAAAACGCTCATCATCACTGGTCATTAGAGAAATGCAAATCAAAACCACATTGAGATACCATGTCATGCCAGTTAGAATGGCAATCATTAAAAAATCTGGAGACAGTGGATGCTGGAGAGGATGTGGAGACATAGGAACACTTTGACACTGTTGGTGGGAGTGTAAATTAGTTCAACCATTGTGGAAGACAGTGTGGCGATTTCTCAAGGACCTAGAAATAGAAATTTCATTTGACCCAGCAATCCCATTACTGGGTATATAACCAAAGGATTATAAATCATTCTATTATAAAGACACATGCACACATATGTTCACTGTGGCACCGTTTACAATAGCAAAGACTTGGAACCAACCCAAATGCCCATCAATGATAGACTGGGTAAGGAAAATGTGGCACATATACACCATGGAATACTATGCAGCCATAAAAAAAGATGAGTTCACGTCCTTTGTAGAGACATGGATGAATCTGGAAACCATCATTCTCAGCAAACTGACACAAGAACAGAAAATCAAACACTGCATGTTCTCATTCATAGGTGGGTGTTGAACAATGAGAATACATGGACACAGGAGAGAGAGATCCAAGATGGCTGATCACTAGCAGCTCGGGATTGTAGCTCCCACTGAAAGCGCAGAGAACGAGAGGACGCCACACTTTCAGATTAATTTTTGTTGCTCACGCACCAGGAGATTCCCAGCGGAGGAGACCCACTCTTGCCAGTGCGACTCTTCAGGCTGGTGAGGCGGTTTTGCCGCTGCCTTGGTGCAGCGGTTCTTGGTGCAGAGTCAGAAAAGCACCATCAATCTTAAAGCCGCTGTTTTGGCCGGCGCAGTGGGTTGCTCAGATTTTAGCGCCAGAAATCAACAAGTTGGACGTCCATTCAGAAACCCAACTATAAAGATGGTAATTAAAAAGGCTGAGAATACCCAAACTCAGAAAGCCTCTCCCTCTACAGGGGATCACAGTTCCTAATCAGCAACAGGACAAGGCCTGATGGAGAAAGACTGTGTTCCATTAGCAGAAGCAGGCTTTAAAAAGTGGATAAGAAACTTCTGGGAATTAAAAGAACTTGTTCTAACCCAATGCAAAGAAACTAAGAACTTTGAAAAAAGGTTTGACGAAATGTTAACAATAACACACAACTTAGAGAGGAATATAAATGAATTAATGGAGCTGAAAAACACAACAGGAGAACTTCGCGAACTATGCACAAGTTTTAACAGCCGAATTGATCAAGCAGAAGAAAAGATATCAGAGGTCGAAGACCAACTTCATGAAATAAAACAAAAAGACAAGATTAGAGAAAAAAGGGTAAAAAAGAACGAGCAAAGTCTCCAAGAAATATGGGACTATGTGAAAAGACCTAATCTACGTTTGATAGGCGTACCTGAATGTCATGAAGAGAATCAATCCAAGCTGGAAAATACGCTTCAGGATATTATTCAGGAAAACTTTCCCAACCTAGCAAGGCAGGACAATATTCAACTCCAGGTAATACAGAGAACACCACAACGATATTCCTCAAGAAGACCAACCTCAAGGCACATAATTGCCAGATTCACCAGGGTTGAAATGAAAGAGAAAATACTAAAGGCAGCCAGAGAGAAAGGTCAGGTTACCCATAAAGGGAAGCCTATCAGACTCACAGCAGATCTCTCAGCAGAAACCCTACAAGACAGAAGAGAGTAGGGGCCAATATTCAACATCCTTAAAGAAAAGAACTTTCAACCCAGAATTTTACGTCCAGCCAAACTAAGCTTCATAAGCGAAGGAAAAATAAAATCTTTTGTGAACAAGCAAGCACTCAGAGATTTCATAACCACCAGGCCTGCTTTACAAGAGCTTCTGAAAGAACCACTATAAATAGAAAGGAACAACCAGTATCAGCCTTTCTAAAAAATACCAAAAAATAAAGAACATCAACATAATTAAGAAATTGCATCAACTAATGGGCAAAACAGCCAGCCAACATTAAATAACAGTATCAAACTCACATATACTGTTATTAATTCTAAATTTAAATTGACTAAATCTCCCAATCCAAAGACACAGACAGGCAAAAAAAAAGCCAAGCTACATCCAGATCCATCTCATATGTAAGGATACACAAAGACTCAAAACAAAGGGATGGAGAAAAATTTACCAACCAAATAGAGAGCAAAAATAAATAAATAGAAAGCAGGAGTTGCAATTTTTGCTGACAAAATACACATTAAAGCAACAAAGATCAAAAGAAGCAAAGAAGGACATTACATAATGATAAAAGGATCAATGCAACAAGAAGAGCTAAAGATCCTAAATATATATGCACTCAATACAGGAATACCCAGATATATAAGACTTATAAAGAGACTTGGACTACCACACAATAATAGTGGGAGACTTCAACATCAATATTAGACAGATCAATGAGACAGAAAGTTAACATCGATATTCAGGACTTGAACTCAGATCCGGAACAAGTAGGCTTAATTAACATTTATAGAACTCTCCACTTAAATACACAAAATATACACTCTTATCAGTACTACATCACACCTATTTACAGGTTTAAATGAAATATCGGTTGGCTACTGGTTATTTTCTTCCCTCATTTTTTTTTTTTTTATGTCTCTATTATTAAACACAATTGCAGGCATACCCATTTTTAGACTGCATTCTAGCCTGGGCAATAAAGCAACACCCCTGTTCTCTCTCCCTCTTCCTCTTCCTCTTTCTTCCTTTCCTTCCTTCTTTTTTTTTATTCTTTCTCTTTCTTTCTTTCTTTCTTCCTCTAAAAAAAAAAAAAAAAAAAAGAGAGAATACATGGACACAGGGAGGGGAGCATAACCCACTGGGGTCTGTTTGGGGGGACTAGTGGAAGGGCAGCCGGGGGTTGCGAGTTGGGGAGAGATAACCGAGGGAGCAATGCAGATATAGGTGACAGGGATGGAGGCAGCAAACCACATTGCCATGTATGTACCTATGCAACAATTGTGCATGTTTTGCACACGTACCCCAGAACCTAAAGTGCAATAAAATATATATATATACAAAAGAAACAGAGAAATTAAAGGTAGAAAGCATGAAGGATGAGGAGAACGGATCAAAGACATAGCCAGAATCAAGTTATTCGAGAGTAAAATGGGGCCGGTGTGGCAGCTCAACACCTGTAAATCCCTGCACTTTGGGAGGCTGAGACGGGAGGACTGCTTGAACCCAGGAGTTTAGGACCAACCTGATCAACAAATGTTGACTCCATCTCTGCAAAAAATAAGAAATTAGCCAGGAGTGGTGATGCCCACATGTATTCCCAGCTGCTCAGGAGGCTCAGGTGGGAGGACCACTTGCGCCCAGGTGATCAAGACTGCAGTGAGCCATGATCACACCATTACACTAGAGTCTGGGTTAACAGAGTGAGACTCCGTCTACAAACAAAAACAAACAAGTAAAATGGATAACAAGCACAGTCTTAAATCAACCAAATCAAAATCAGTATTTGAAGCATTATCCAAATGCCAAGGAATGCCCAACATTAGCTAAAATTTGAGCTGAGGCCAGGTGCAATGGCTCATGCCTGTAATTCTAGCACTTTCAGAGGCTGAGGTGGGCGGATCACGAGGTCAGGAGTTCAAGACCAGTCTGGCCAACACAGTGAAACCCTGTCTCTACTAAACATACAAAAAATTAGCCAGATGTGGTGGTGTGTGCCTGTAATCCCAATTACTTTGGAGGCTGAGGCAGGAGAATTGCATGAACCCAAGAGGCAGAGGTTGCAGTGTGCCAAAATCGCACCACTGCACTCCAGCCCAGGCAACAATGCAAGACTCCATCTCAAAAAAAAAAAATTGAGCTGAAAAGGTCAAAAAGCAGTAACAATGCAGAGAGTCATGTAGACTCCATAAGGTTATTACACTATGAACTTTTTTTTTGTTTAGAGGAATATGTCAGCCCTGGACACACTGGACTATTAACTCTATAAAACCATATAAGTCAGACCTAGATCAAAATATCCAAGTTAAGTTCTAATGAAAAAAATTGTCATTTAAAAATAAAGTTTAAAGAAAATAATGCCTCCTTCACATAGTATTATACCATATGTACATTTTAAAGAGTTGTCATTTTCATTAACACAAATTTTTAATAGGCTAAATGCGGCATATTAATATAAGAGATAAATATGGAATCTTAGTAGTGATTCAACTCACATTATTGTAGAGATGAGAGATGGAAGAAAAGAGGCAAGAGATAGAAGAAAAAACATAATAACACACAGACACATAGGAACAAATAGATAACCAACAAGGAAAACATCAATTAAACAACACGAAAGGAAGGTTCAAATGAACAAAAGTTTAAACGTGCTCAGTCTCGTATGAAAGATGAACAAGTAAAATGAAGGGGAATTCCAAGCAGTAGGCAAATATAACCTCATGACAAAGTTACAGAAGTGTGAGAAAGCACAGACTGTTTGGGAAGTTTCTGGGTAATCTGGTATGGATCACTTGATCCATACATAGAGAAGAATAGTAGTAAGAGACAAATTTGGAAAGGTAGGTAGAGGTCAGACTCATCCTATTCTAAAGACAGTGGGGATCAACTGAAGGATTTTAAGCAAGGATGAACCCACATTAGGCAGAATCAAACATGCAATCTAAGAGAATTGGTTAAGAAGTTGTTATAGTAATGTGAGAGAGTAATAAATACGAACTATGGCTGTGAAGGCTGGGATGGAGAATAGGGGGAAAAGGTGAAAGAATATTAAGAAGGCAGAATCCATAGGACTTAATGACTGACTGGATACGTGCAATCAGCAAGAAGACGGAGTAGAAATCTGTGAATATTTGAGAAGAACAGTTTAGTTTAAGCAGGCGTCATATTTTGAAGACTACTATTGGCATTTCTCAGATTCTACACTGACATGAGTTAAATAATTTTTGGAAAGCTTCATGTAACATGTTTCAGGGACCTTTTATCATCTTAGGAAAACCTATACTTTTGTGGAAGACTTCTAGATCATATTTTTAAGGTATTACTGAAAGAATAAATTCTCTTCCAAGATGTAAGAGAGACCTGCTCTGTATTAAAATATAGACAATTACTAATTTACCAATCACTAGACCCACAATCAGTTCATGAATATAAAGAGAATTATGGCTAATGTTCTACCCTGAGCTGCTAGGGCTTTCATCCTAACTATTCCACGAATTCTACTGTCTTGTCCCTGTTAAAATTGAGCTGTTTGTAATACATCAAATACAATATGGGTTAAATAATCTACTTGTTTGTTTTATGGAGGGCATAAGAAAAATAATCACCGATTACTCTGAAGCAATGCAACTAAGAATGTTAACAAACTTTAGAAACACAACTCATTTGCGATCTGGTGTTGCTCATATAGTTAATGCTTAGTTATTATAGTAAAATCAGAGAATTTCAAACTTTGGAAAACTAAGACACCTCTCTTGACCTTCAGCTCCTACAAAGTATCAAAAGGAGGGAAAGGAGCAAATATATCTACAGTAGCTCTACAGCTAAATAAACTCCAAAGCAGTACATGTCTTCAATTATGTATATTATCTGTTAATAATAATTTCAATAGCTTTTTAACTCTTTTGTACTAAATTCTTATATTACATTCAAAGATCAAAAATAAAACAAATACTTCATTTTCCAACTGTATTTCCACCATGTTTAGATGGTATTTTTCTCTTCTCTATATTCATTTAATTGCAACATAATGACTTGAATAAACATATAAATAAAATTTTTTAGAGTCATTTAGGGAAACATAAATAATTACAAACCTTATAAGTGTTTAGACTCCATTTTCTAACAAGTTCTAACTTTTCCATTGCAGGATTTTTAATTTCATCTGCTAGAATAACTGGTCCACCTTTTGTCTGTGTTCTCTGGCCACCTGCAAGATAACAAAAGATAAAAACACAATCCGGATAAAGACAAGTAGGGAAAGAAAATAAAACACTGACATTGTTCAAATTAAAATACTTATGCATCTAAAAACACAAAAAAAGGTTCCCACTAAATAAAGAAGTAGAACTTCCTGGAATTGCTGAGGATAGTTCCCTAATTACTTAAAGAACATTTCTGTCCATTAAACACAAATGCCATGTGACTTATTTGCCTTCTTTAAACAAACAAAAAACAAACCTGCTGCAATTAGCCTTATTTTCTAGATAAGCTGCCGTTTACTTCAAGAAAAAATAAAAATTCCACAACTAATCTTATACTCTAATGATGCTAAAAAGGAAGTATTTTGGTCAATAAAAATCTAAAAGGCCACGTATTCCCCACAGTGATCTTTCACTGTAATAGGTAGACTAGAACAATAGAATGTTGCTATAATTTTGGAGAATTTGAAAGCTGGGTTGAAATAAGACCTACACTGTACCTCTTTTTTCTCAAGAGACCACACACAAAAAAGCAAGAAAACCAAAAAGAGCCATATGAATAAAGAAGCAGTGTAAAGTCTTGACAATATACTCTTCCAACAATTAAGAATTTATGATATGTAAGCAACTCTACAACTATACAGTTCCCAACAGTAAAATATTTTTCACAGCCGAAATAGTTTTCATAGCTGAAATATTTTTCATTTCAATAGTTTCTATCCCAAAACATTAGTAGCGTAAATGTTTAAGAACATTTCTCATAATTTTAAAAGAATAATGAAATAAAAAAGAAAAATTAGAATCAGCAAAAATTTCTTCTCCAACTTATTCCTATAGCCTGATCAACTTTTCCCATTGGTATATTAAATTAGAACACATTTAAGAATTTACAAAAATCCCACAAAACAAAATGTAAATGTTAACATTTCATATAAGAAATATGGAGTTCATTTTTATAGTCCAGTAACAGTAAAGTGCAGAGCAAATTCAGTGTGAAGACACTGATTTTCTCAAATATTTTTCATTGGGTATAACTGGTAAATTAATAGTATTGTGTTGTGATCTGCAAACTATTTGTAAGTTAAAGTTAAGACCCTTTTCCACTTAACCCATTCTTTTTTTTTTTTTTTTCTTTCGAGATGGAGTCTCACTCTGTTGACCAGGCTGGAGTGCAGTGGCACGATCTCGGTTCACTGCAACCTCCGCCTCCCACGTTCAAGCAATTCTCTTGCCTCAGCTTCCTGAGTAGCTGGGATTACAGGCACGCCTCACCACGCCTGGCTAATTTTTGTATTTTCAGTAGAAACGGGGTTTCACCATGTTGGTCAGGCTGGTCTCCATCTCCTGACCTCATAATCCGCCCGCCTCGGCCTCCCAAAGAGCTGGGATTACAGGCGTGAGCCACCGCGCCCGAACTTAACCCATTCTTAAAAACAACCAACCTAATTGTTGAACGTTGTTTTTTCCTTAACTGAAAATAGAAGGCAGAGCTGCAAAGATAAGAGTTTAGATCAAATGGTAAACTTACAGTCTCCAGAGCAAAGAAAGAATGATTTAAAACAAATTTTATAATGTTTTAATTTTAAAACATTAAGTTTCGAGACATAGCCTAATTACTCTGAAAAGGCAGAAAGATAGGATATAGTTAGAAAAATTATTTCCTTTATTGTTAATAAGGCAGCCACTAAAAAAGTCAGAATAACACACACCTAAGAATAAAAAGCAAGTGATTATGAAACTAAGTAAATTAGTTTAGCTTCAGCAGTAGCAAGAAGGGCTTTATCCAATCAGTGCAGTGAATACCTGCGGGAACAATTAAATCACTTCCTTGTTGAGCCAGTCGACTAGCTGCAACTCTGCTAGGAGACATAACAGATGGCAATGGCGGTGCTGGGGAACCTGAAAAGGTAGACATTTTAACTGTGAGAATCCTTTTCCTCCTCCACATACTGTACATTTTGAATATAGGGTTACTGATATTTCCTTTAAAATATTCAAACACTAATTGGAATTAATATATTTGCTTTCTTTCAGGGAAAGATTAATAATAAATGCTACCAGGCTCATTTTTTATATAAACTTTTCATCAAACTATCAGAACTAAACTACGTAATTATATGATGAAATCTGGTAAGATGACATCTAAACAGGATTTTAACTGAACTCTGCTATTTCCAAAATCAGTTAACAGAATGTGAATACAGTCCCATAGTTAGATAATTTAAAGCTTCAGTAAATATTTCATAACTTGCTACTCTCATATATGAAGGAAAAGCTCTTCAAGTAAAAATTCAAAGGTATGTAAGGGATATTAAAACATGCTTTCATATCTCTTATAAGAAATATGAATGAATTATATATAGCCTTCACAGGAATTGTAGCCAAAAATTTTCAAATCATAAATCAAATGTCACATAGTGTATCTCATTGCTATTCATCATGTGGATGTAGGGGACCTTCATCAATTTACCTGGATGCTTGTTAGAAATGCAAAATCTCAGTCCCTGCCCCATACCTACTGAACCCAAACCTGCATTTTCATAAGAATTCCCAGTTGATTTGTATGTACTTTGAAATTTGAGAGGTGCTGATGTAGAGTATTTTAGGACATTATAAGAATTACTTTTGGAGCTTTTAAAACATACCTGGGATACTCCACAAGATCTACTGATTATCAGTGAAATAGGCATGTATTGTTTTGCAAAAGCAAAATTCTCAGTTTAACTGAGAATATTTTAATGTCTATAATGTACTTCGATTTCAATTACACTCATCCTCATTTCTCTGGAAAAAATATAATGCATCAAGTTCATAATTAAATTTTCTAATAAGAAAGAATCATCTACTTTCTTTACTTACTATTAGTAATAATTAGTCCTATCCCATATGTACTAAATTCTGATGTAGAAGCAGTCACCAGTTCTAACAGTGTAAAATATACCCTAATTTGGACTAGATCTCACATTAAAATTCAAACATGAAATAGGCCTAAAAAGGCTGTTGTTAACTTTCAAAGTGAGAGATATTTGTCTCTTTAAATCTGTTAAATTATAAAATTTAAAACCAGAAGGGATGATGGAAATCAACTAGTCTAAACTCTCACATTAAACTGTAAGATAAATGATAAAACTCAGAGGTTAAAATAGTTTCTTATTAAGAGACTCAGATGTTCTGAACACCATAATATCTCCATTATTAAATTCAACACAGAAATCACTAGTCTACATGTTACTTGCTAAGTTGGAAGGCATTTTAATAGGTTATCCAGTCCAATTACCATTTTAAATAAAGACTGTATCTCTACTGTCCAAGGAATAGGGATTCTAAAATAAGAAAGTATAAAATAAAAGACGACTACTGAACTTCCATGTCTTGACCCCAGAAACAGAGCTCTATTGTTCTAGTTATTACGGTTTATTAATCTTGTTTAAGAAATAATACCATGGTATTACATGATCATGATGTGTATAATATATATAACAAATGATATGTAACTTTCCAAAGTAAAATAGCAAATGATGTAGTGTGGATATAACTGGGACTTCAGCTTTTTTGATTTACGTTCAAAGGTAATTATCCCATCTCTGTTATCTTTAATATTTTAACCCTTTAAACAATTGTTACTAAAATCATTCACTAATACCAAATAAAAAATAACTCTTAATAATACAGGATCTTGCTAATTGACTAAATTTGGGGAATCAGATCTATTTCATCTCAACAACAAAAATCTAAGAAGACGAATACATATGTGATACCTCCTTTAAAACAAAACCCTGGTACCAAGTACACTTTACTCTTATGAGCTTTGATTTATTCATGATTTCCACTATTACTGATTCTGCAACATCTTTGGTGTTAGGCAGGTTTCAATATTTGTTGTTTTTAAGCTGAATTTAAGTGTAACTTCTAAATTTGCTCCAGAAAGATAAAGTAGATGGTTAATACTCTTCTTATTAACGGTTTAAGTAATAAAAAGTCATATTTATCATTTAGTCATCTCTCCAGAAAGCCAACACAGCCCTAATTCCTTTAACATTTTTTCCGTAAGGCCTATTTGCCAAATTGTTATCGTTGTATGCTGTTCTCATGTTCATTCCAATTTATTTACATATATCTTAAAACAACCACAACTTTCCAACAAATGCTCAACTAATTTAAGTATAGCAGCAGAATGATTATCTTCTTAATATCCTAATCAGCAATACAGTTTGGATTTTAAAATGTTTTATAGACTCAGTTCAGAGAGACATATATTACTGCCATTATCATGAAATATATTTTCTTATTCCAGTTGGAAGGATTAGGATGTATCTATAAGCAAGTGAAATTGATGGGCATTTTAATGCTCATGTATATCAGTTTATAATGGCCAATTGATTTCAATTATTGTAAAATACCATTTCACTTAAAAGGAAAATGTCAGCTAAATAATTTCATTTAAAATATCTTAATAATAAAATTAGTTTTTTATTCTATGTTAACATTTAAATTTTAGAATTGGTGATTAGTTGAAAAATGGTGCCAAATTATGCAAAGTAAGCCTTATATTTCTAAACACTCATAGTTTTAGATACTCAGTGAGCCCTTCCAAATTCAGAGTTATCCCTGATATAAGAATGCCATGATGCTTCTGAATGATCACTAAGACACTGATGTGACTGCTCCCTTTATTTTTCTAAACATAAGAATGAAAAGAGAAAAAAAATGATGTCAGTAGAAAGTCCATTCATTTCACAGCCTAAAATAGAGGATATTATACTGGATTATCCTAAATGTCTATTTCCAGGACCCACATAGCAAAGAATATACTTCAAAATATAAATTGTTCTTTGAAAAAAGTATTGGCCAATTATACAATAAAAAATAAAGAATACTAATATCTGCAAGAGGGCTATGGTTTACAAAGGCATGGATATAACTTTCTTCATTTTGTAAAACTATAATGCAGTATTAGAATTAATATACTTAATTGAACAAATTGAACATATAACTATAGCTGTTGGTTTACAGCGCCGTCCGAAAATCTATTTCCCACATCCAAATGTTTACATGGCTTTACTTTCACTTGAGTAAAAAAAGTTTAAAAAAGTTATTACAAGTAAAAGCATTAAGAAAGGAGGCACTATTTTCCTATTAAAAACAGACATACATGAGATGTGTGCAGAAAGAGTTAACATAGCAGATCTAACTGCCTATCCTTAGAAAGGCTGGCATGCAGGAACTTGAATTTTGGGAGGATTCCCTCCATCGCCAGAATGATTACGAGTGCCTCACTGTGCTTAAGCGGTTTACCTGCAATGTGGTTTATGCTGCTTACCTGCTTTCCTTCTGGAAGTCTAGAATCTTGGTATGTAACAGACAGAGAAACCTATGTGATCAGCCCCCAGTAAAAATCCCAAGCATGGAATTTCTAAATGAGCTTCCCCAGTTAGCAAATTTCACATACGTTGTCAGTCTCACTGCTGGAGGAATTAAGCAATTGCTGTGTAATTAAGCTGGAAGAAGACGCTTGGAAGCTTATGCTTAGTTTTCCTCAGACTTAGTCTATACACCTTTTGCCTTAACTGACTGTGCTTGCTACTCTCATTATGATAAATCATAGCTATGAGTGTCACTGTGCAAGTCCTGTGAGATCTCCTAGCAAATTTCTGATTTGGTTAAAGGAACGCTTAAAGAATATTAATTTGGCAGACATGTAAGAACAGCTTGGAAGAGTCAGAAATTGAGGCAAGATCAATCATAAGATATCACTATATCTCAGGTATTCAACAGCTACAGTTTAGAATAGAGAAGTGGCCAAAATAATGGAGAGAAGGACACTGCATGTTCTCACTTATAGGCGGGTGCTGAACAATGAGAACACACGGACACAGAGAAGGGAGCATCACACACTGAGGTCTGTTGGGACAGGACTAGGGGAGGGACAGTGGTGGTAGGGAGTTGGAGAGGGATAACATGGGGAGAAATGCCAGATATAGGTGATGGGGATGGAGGCAGCAAACCACATTGCCATGTATGTACCCATGCAACAATCCTGCATATGCTTCACATGTACCCCAGAACCTAAAAGGCAATAAAATACATATTTAAAAAAATGGAGAGAAGGGATGAAATTTAGGAATAATTAAGAGTAATTAAAATACAAACTTTTAATGAGTGTGGTCCTGGAAACCTCCTACATAACATGTAAAAAGTTCATTTTTCTATTTGCTTTCAAATAAGGTATATGTATTTATAAAAATCAACACTGATTTATAGTTATAAATTTCATGGTTACAAGTTAAAATCTACATTTATATTTCTGATATAATTTTTGTTTTTATTTCAGTTTTTACAACCAAATCTTAAATAATCACCAGTGATATTATGCACATTGATCTGTTTATGTAAAGAAGAAGATTAAAATAATTCCTGTATTACTTAAATTTAAGAGTAAAAGGATTATGTTTATAATCAATGTTTTATCACAGAATGAAAGGGCTTCATTCTTGTGCTTTATTAATAAAGGTAGCATTTGGTGAATTTCTCCCATCCTCCATCCCAGCCATCTTTACAAATACATGGGCTCCTACCTTGAAAGGCTCCTGCTTCAACAACTCCCTCTTTGCTACTGTCAAAGCCATGAGATGTAATTTGGGTTTCTGAGAGTCCAAGTCCAGATGGTAATGAATGCTTCAAATCCTTAGCAAGATTTAAATAAAAGAAAAAAATTTTGTAAAAAATCCCACATCATATAATGGTTCAGGATAACTGTATCCTTTTAATCACATCTTAAACTATTTTTCTCTCTGCTATGCAGTGTTCCCTTATGCTGCCATTGCATGCTATAATGATGTATAATCAGCAGCAAATACAGCAAGATTTGTATTAAGTGGTATTGTGTACATCACATACAATACACTTTCATCATTCTGTAACCAAGTAGCACGCAGATAATAAAATTCAAAGTAAAAATTTTAATCTTACTGATACATCAGGAAAATTATTTTAATGAACAAAATTAAGATCATTAAATTGCCATGTCTAATACGTAAAAGTTGACTGGCATCTAATATAATCATGATGAGCCTGGAGAATGCTCAGTATAAACAAATCATTCACTTGCCATGTTAATTTCTCTTCCATTTCAACAGGGCTTCTCTGACTTCAATCAGGGTGTAGTAAACAAATCTGTATTTGGATTTACATTGCACAATGATAATAGTTAACCTAACTGCAAATTAGCTTATAACAGAATCTTACTGTAATAAAAATAACATTTAATACTGAGTCTTAAGAGCTTAAAAAATATAGAAAGTCAAAAAGCACAATTTTTTTTTTTAAGGCACAATCCTACTTAAGTATATTCTAATATATTTTTTTTTCCAGAACCTTGTAAATTAAATCTCAGGGCTTAGTAATAATTAGGCAAAAAGGCCAAGTAAAACTGTAAAATCAACAAGAAGTAAAGCTGAGGCTACAGTCTGCTGGCTTCACGCGATTCAACAATATATTATTAATAATGCAAACTTAAATCTGGCCTATCCACATGACTAGAACTTCAGAAAAATCAAACTGAAATGAGGTAAGGCATTACATCTAAAATAAAATCACTTTACTGTTTATTAAATTTTCATGAGAATTTCAGGGCTATGACAAGTTATAAGTAAATGCAGCCAGTAAGCTAAATTTTTAGACTGATCACAGTTTAAGATAGCAGATTTTAGATCATAAACATATATAACTAGTGTTATATATTTTTTCTAATCCATTACGCCTTTTCTTGATATAATGGTAAAGTACAGAGTCTATAGCAGGGGGTCCAGGATATTTCTCCAGAGACGGAGTTATACTTTTTTATTTACCTAGGTCAAGACATGAACATCTTAATTAGTAGGTGAAGGCAATATGCAATCAAAGAGGAAAGTATGTAACAATTTATAATTTAGTTAAGAATTCAGAAGTGAGAATGATCAGTGTGCCTCAAACAGAAGAAAAGGCTTAATGGAAGAGATGGATTCTAAGCTGCATCAATGACCAACATGAATGATATGGAATGCTGGAAGGATGGAATAGGGTGAGGAAGGGTTCATCTTCAACCTAGTAGAAAAACTTTGTGGGGAAGGGGTGGGTAGGACTGAGCAGTCATCACCATGTTATTGGGATGGCATGGAGGCCAACAACTAGGCTCCCATGGCCAACGTCTCTAAAGGTCTATGTTGAGAGATAGAAATAAATGAGTTAGAAACTTTTGAGTAACAAGTTTACTTGATTTGGTTAAAGGATTATTTAAAAAGTATTAATATGGCAAACATGTAAGAACAGCTTGGAAGAATTAGAAACTGAGGCAACATCAATCATAAGATATTACTTAGAATATACTTAACTGTATCTCAAGTATTCAATGGCTACAGTTTAAGATAGGGAGGTGGCCAAAAGAATGGAGAGAAGGGATGAAATTTAGGAATAATTAAGAGTAATTACAATATAAACTTTTAATAAAAATTCAAGGTATGGCCATATGTCAGTACAATAAGGTGGGATAGCTAAGATAATTTATACTACTGAAATAAGAAGCCCTTTCAGAAGCTAATTTCCATAATCATGAACCAAAATGCAAAGGGATTATTAAATCACTAGCCAAGATGATTTGATCTCAAACAATTATATCTACTCTGCTAATGAAGTAAAAATAGTGTAGGGGCAAGTTAAGTGACATTTATGTTGTATAATATAACTTAAACACACTATTTTGGAATGTTTGCTTAAGAAGTTTCCATGTGGATTCTAATGTTCTCCTAAATGTACTCTTTAATTGTACTTGATGTTTTTCTTGACCAATGTATAAGTAATCTTCAATTTTCTTTTCTTCCTAAAGTTTTTCACTATTTTCAATGTGGAACTTATTAAATGGCACAATTCTGTAGAAATACAGTAAGGATGACTAGGTTCATCATCCCTATACTACTGAGAAAAGGTATATGCTATAAATATACCTTTTATATGAAAATAGATAGCTATACAAAATTGAAACAAAACAGTTCCTAAAGACGAACAGAATCTTCTAGGTGCTAGGCCATGGAGTCATGCTTTTCTCTACTTTGTATCATCTCTGTAGGAATCTCTGGGACTATACTATGATTAGGTACCCAGGTCCAGAGCATGCTGAATCTCTATCACTAAAATTCTTTAGTTAACCATGAACATTTATCAGAATACATGATTTTAAATTAAATTCATAGGAATTAATATAATTTCCATTCTGAAATGTCCAGGTTTACATTGCTTAAAACTACTCTTAGATATTTTTACTACAGCATTTTAAAAACTGAAGTATAAAAAAGCCAATTTGGCTCAATTCAATTAAAAATAGTTCTTAAAATTCCTTCCAGATCCTAACATCTAAGAATGAAGAAACAAATACCCATATACCAACTTCCTGCTGTTAATAAAACATTTGTGTCTATTAAATCTAAATCTAAAAATATACCTTGTCATAAGTATCTTTGCTTAGTTTTAGCCATTTTAGTTTTACACATTCAATCTTAAATCTCCAATTTTGCAGCTTGGTTTCCTTTTTCTAGTTAAACAAGTATCTGTCCAGTTACTAATTTGTTATTGGAAATAAATTAAATGGAGGGGACTGTGTCTGGGAATGGCTCCTTTACCCTGTAGTTCTCGACCCTGGGATTTCATCACACTGTCAGTGAGATGTGTGTAAAGTGATTTGTAACTAATAGTTGAAAGCAAAACATGTATCAACTTCAGTGTGTAAAGTATTTATATTACAGTATGCTCAAGATAATCTCTATGACTTACTCTTTCATTGCATTTCAGTATGCTTTAAGGACTGAGAGATACAGGGTGAAGTTTCAGAAAGCAAACAAAATTGTTTACCACTTTGGATATCAGTGAAAATGTCTGAGAATTGGTTCTGGTTTCAGATGCATCTATTATTTCAAAAAATAATAATTAGCAACCATTTGATGGGGCAGTTTGATGTAATGGATGCAATGTGAGCTCTGAAGTTAGGTGAGATAAACCTGAGTTTGAATCCTGGCTCCAGTCACTTAATGGCTCTATAACCCCAGGCAAGTAGTCTGAATTGCTGAGGTTCTTGACTGTAAAATGATAATGTTAAAGGATAATAATTCTTACCTCAAAGACAACATACAAAAAGTATACTAAAACATCTGATACTTCAAGTATTAATGTCTTTCTCCTTCATCCCAATTTTTAAACAGAACTCTTCTGGAGACTAGAAATTGGAATGATGAAAAATTATTTTCTTATATTTAAAACTGACCATTACATGTAAGAATGTGTTTTCAGATCACTTAGGATGAATGATTTTTATTTTTTGAGTGACAAAGTCATGAAATTATAAGCATTCTCATCCTTAGTATTATGTTTACAATGCCATCTTAATTATATTAGAGCATGCCCATATGTGACACTAACCATATAATTTAACTTCTGATATCCAGTGACTTTAAACAGAGCAACTAGACAGAAGTTACAAGTCCAAGAGATCTGTTTTAAAATGTACACAACAATACCTTCAGTTGAAATAGAGTTTCTGAGTATGGAGGGAGAGACCAAAAAATGTGGGAAAAAAGACATGCTTTAAAGGGAAGGTGATGAGTTTGTTACTAAAAGTAAGGAATATACAGAGAACAAACCAAAAAAAACCGGACGGAAAACCCAGCTGGAAGATCATTAAAAATAAGTACTTTCAGTAGTGATAGGAATGTTTTCATAAACCAAGAAATGCTGCTAACGAGAGTTTGAAAGGTAAGCTAGTCTTTGAAACAGTCATTGGAACACTTGCGAAAATTCTCAAAAGACAAGCTTGGGTATTCTGAAGAACATCACTCTATATTCAATAAGTGAGGCATCTGAGGAATTCTAGACCCCAAGAATTATGATTGGTTACCTATTGTACATCAAATCCGAATCAAACTCTTTCTTTCAAAGGGATAAACTGGTCAGGCATGGTGGCTCACACCCATAATCCCAGCACTTCGGGAGGCCGAGACGAAAGGATTTGAGCTCAGGAATTTGAGACCGGCTTAGGCAACATGGCAAAACCCCAACTCTAAAAAAATACAAAAATGCAGCTGGGCATGGTGACATGCATCTGTAGTCCCAGCTACTTGGGAGGCTGAGGTGGAAGGATGGCTTGAGCCCAAAAGACAGAGGTTGCAGTGAGCCAATTTGTGGGACTGCCCTACAGACCGGGCAGCAGAATAAGACCTTGCCTCAAAACAAAAAACAAAAAAACCCACACATACAAAAGAGAGATAAACTAGTAAGTCTCTTATATAGGAAAAGAAAAATATTGGTCTTGGGTCTCAAATGAGTTCTCAAAACATTAGATTTCCAACTAAAAGTCTTTTTTACCATCTGGTTTGAATAAGAGGTTTGGATCAGAGATTCACAGGGCCTGCTCCTTTAAAGACAACATATAACACAGCAATCCAGCCGGGTGTTGGTGGCTCACGCCTGTAATCCTAGCACTTTGGGAGGCCAAGGTGGGTGGATCACCTGAGGTCAGGAGTTCAAGAACATAGCAATCCCCTCCAACACGGACAAACGAACTCCCTATTCCCCTTACCTGTTCTATTTTTCTCATAGCAATGGCCACTAAGTGATATATTATGTGTATATTTATTTTTGTCTCCCCTCACTATACTATAACC